TGTATTACATGCGCTCCACGCTTTTCATTTTCAATTTCATAGATTGTTTATAATGACTTTTGCTAAAATTTCAAAATCAAAAGTTATCAAAACAAATTCTATGGGACTGAGAAATATTATTTTCTACTTTTTAGACCATTTATAAAAGCGTTGTATATTAAAAAGTTTTTTTTATATTATTTATTTTGTTATTCCGTTCATTTCAAGATTAATAGTTCTTGTGGGGCTCGTCGCTTGAAGCAATTCCTTTTTTTCTTACTATCAACTAATTAGAAAAATTGTATGATGAAAGTGCATACAATAGGTTCCATTTTTATTAATTTTTTCCCGAATTTTTCAGAAATTCCGTTCACTTCAAGGTTGAAAGTTATTTTTGCGCTCGTCGCTTGATGCAATAAATGCATACATATAAAACGAAAGACTTAAGCTGCAAACTGGAATTGAGTTTTTCATACTATCGTTTGTTGAAATTGCTTACAATAGGTTCTTTTTAAAGCTGTTTTCTTGAAATGACATCTAATTAAAGAAATGTTGCTTATTAAAAATAAGAATTGTCTATTATAATGTATGTATGTATAATCTAAATTTCTATTTCTCATCTATTCCCTAGAATTGTCCGCATGGCCGGCCAACAATGCGTCATCTTATTAATATCGCAATGCTGCAAGACGACGAGGAAGACGATAATCCGTAGACAACCAAGGGTCTTTGTTTTATTGTGCTTTGTTTTAAATAAAAAGTTTACGTTTTTAAGTTTTAAAAATTTACTCGTTTTATTTTCAAACGCTGATCGTTCTAAAAATATTGAAACCGCTGTGTGCTGTCGACAATATAACCCCTGGCAACTGCGGATGCCAATGCAATTCTTTTATTTCCTTTTGTCCTTGATGTATGAATAGCAATTGTGGTGGAAGTTTATTAATGTCGTCTTCACTTTGTGTTTGCTCTGTGGCATTAGGTGAGGATTCTTGGTCGACATCCTTTTCAACCGCTAAGTCCCATAAAGCAATTTGGTCGTCATCACCACCTGATGCAAACACTGTGGCATCGTTAGGGTTCCATTCCAGTGTTGTTATATGATCGGTGTGGTGCTTGAATGTTGCAATGGGCTTTTTCGTTTGGAATTGCCTCAAATCCCAAACATGTAGGAAACCATCATCACCTCCGCTAACTATAAACGGTTCTGTGCGATTCCATGATATGACGTTAATGTCGCTTTGGTGCGCTTCTTCACATGTCAACATGCACGCCTTTTGTGGTGGCGCACGACAATCCCAGATTCGTATCGTCTTATCAACAGAACAGGAAGCCAACACACTCGCTTCGTTGGGGCTCCATTGCAAATCTTCCACGGATGCAGTATGACCTACTAGTGGGCGTTGATCTACTTTCCAACTACCTCCTTCCAGAGGAGACCAAATGTGTATGTCACGTCTGAAAGATAAAAATGTTCATAATTTTCATGCACGAAGATTTCTGTTTTCATAATTTTAAGTTACTTGCAGTCTCCCGTAGCAAGCACACCTTCAGCACATGCACTCCAATCGATGGCAAAGCCTTCTTGTTGATGACCGCTGAATGTGTATGCCGGTCGTACTGCTTCATTCGCTACCTCACGTTCGTATTGTTTTAGCAACTGTGCATCTTCAACTGCTTGCAGTTGTTTCGATAAATTCCAAATATTTACACGTCCCAGCTCACTCCATGATGCCGCAAACACAGTGTCACCCAAACGATGAGCACGCACGCGATTCACGCAACCCTGATGTTTGATTAGCGCACACGTCATTTGGGGTTTCTTTCGCTCATCCGCATCAGCAACATCATCTTGATCATCTTCCAGTTCATCTTCATCGTCGTCATCCTCTTCAGTTTCTTGTGTTTTATGCAGATTATGCATTTTCATCACAATGAGATTGTTGACGTGTGTACGTGCTGCTTGTGTTCCGGCTACCATATAAGCGGTTAAGGGGAAATTCTCACGTCCATCGCCTAATTCGTCGGGTACGACGTCAAAACTGAGACACGGCGCTCCAGTGGAGGCTTGATGTAGCATGATGTAGGCGGACTCGTCACATACGAGTTCCTCACCTTCTTCTAATGGTTTTCCTGGTAAGTACACCTCTTTTGATTTGCTAGTAGTCGTTGTTCCATCTTCATTTTCGCTCTCCATACCCTCCGCACCCGCGTCATCGTCATCTTCCGCTTCAACATACTCTAGGTCCATTTCGTCGTTATCCATCTTGGTTGATTGTATCCTTAAATGACGGTGGTTCGAATCCTCAAGAGCCGCTTTAAGACCAGATTGTGATTGTTTTGATATATTTTCCTATTGGCATGGCACGTGCAATTTAAAGAGCATTGCCATAGCAAAATATTTGAGACTTCTAAACGAGGGAAATTTTTAAGAGTATTGCCAGACGCATGAGGCAATGCCATCTTTCGCGTCGCTTTGGCGTTTATAAATAAATAAATAAATAAATAAATAAACATTGCCTATGTGAACAGCTTCATATAAACGTACATATGTATTTATCTTAGGTGTCGAAGAAAAAACGCTAAAGAGCACGAAAGCTGTATGTGCCAGAGCCTTTTCGTTCTTTGTGCTAGGTGGCAAGGTAAAATTGTCACTTGTGATGTGGTGCAGACTGGCAGCACCGATTTTATTACTTTTTTTGTTTATCTCATTTCGGGATGCAGCTGTCAAATTTATTTACGTTAGAGTTTTTTATTTGTTTCTGTATTTGCATTTCTCACTGAATTTTATAAGCACGGTAGATTTCATTTATACACAAATCTAAAAAATTTACTGGAACAAAAATTTTCAGCTCTGTTAGGCAAAATTTCAAGTTCGTTATGTCTTTGAAGAAAGAGATATCCAAGGTGGAGTATCGAATAAAGCTGTTGTCTGGCAATAATGTTGTTCTCGTCGAGGCCAATGGATTTGAATCGGAAATCTTTGTACCTAGTATCCACAACGGACGCATTAGTTTTCAGAACATAATACCGAATAGGAGATGCTGTAACAGGTTAAACGTGCTGGCGTCAAAGAGTTCGGCTGGAAAAAAACGTCGTTCCACACAAACTACTGAACGAATTTTGGCACCAGTGAATTATAATAGAGACAGCATTTCCCCTTCCACAACTTGGCGTCTGCAGGCCGGACATGAAGTCAATCGTACACGCTCACCATTAGCATTTAGCACGCCGGCACCAGCCCCATCGCCATCGCCATCGCCGTCATATACTATAGGGCAACAATTGAAACACCATAATAAGGAAAACTACACGCCACTTCCGCGCGCGTTGGCACAAGCTAACCACCCAATTGATATACTGCGAGTAAATAGACGATCGCCTATTCAGTTAAATAGAAAAAGTAGTCTACAGACACCAGACACAAGAACTGTACGAATACAATGCCAGCAATCGGAAATCAGTAAGCATTTAAATGCAGCTTCGGGAGACTCTGGATCGGGTTTCAATATTCCTGATGTGCCAAATTTATCACGAAGTACAGGATTTTCGTTTTTAGAATCGCCAAATAACGCGAAAAGTAAAGCAAAGAAAGCAAATACATCAGCACCGGGCACAGTTACGAAATGGCGTAAGTGTTTGACACCAGTGCGCACATACTCTCGAAATGGATTTACTGTGCCGCGTCTCCCTTCCAGTTCCAGTGTAACGAATGCACGGAATTTAAAAAGACTGCCTTCTATGACACAAGGCACTAAAGGTACGTACAAATTAGAAGTAAGGAGGCGGAAGCTGGTCGTTGATCCTAAGACAGCTATATCACCGAATACATTCAAGCAACAGCAGCGCACTACAGCACATCTACGTCCGAAAAGCCCCAACAAAAGACGTTCAGGAGCAACATTACCAAACGATCGAAGGCAATATGATATGAGTAAGAAAACTGCTTTCGACATGCTCACAGCCCCTAGTAGATCACATGTGGCCACAAAGTTAGCACAACAGTTTAAGAAAGCATGTGTGAACAAAGCCTCGTCAACATGTCCTAAATATAAAATTTTATGTAAAATACCACCATTGGAGCAACCGGAACGCCAACCTAAGGGTAAATATAGTGTAAATAAATATTTACCGCCCAGCAATATTACCGCGGCCGCAATGATGGAGAAAGCGTGCTCGACTGTAAATCAAACTTGCGAAGGCGTCACACATTTCCAACGTCCGAGTTGGCCCACTCAAACACAATAATGTCGGTATGAAAATTAACTCTTAATAGTAGTGGGAATAATTTTTGGGCAATACTTCTAAATTCAAATAGCAATATTTTGTTATTCTACTTTAGGCGCTATGTTTAATAGTTTGAAATTAATTTTACTTCTATACTCAACTCAAATTCTATTCAGTCAGATGGTTTGGTTTAGTGAAAATATTTTGACTACATTTATCTGCGATTGGGATACAAAAGTTTGTAATAAATCTAGCCATTAAATATTTTCACTGCAAACCATGATAATGGCGACACTATTGTAAATATTTAATGCCATTATGAGTACTAAATGTAATAAAGTAACTAAAAAATTACAGTTGTTTATAAGGACTTTTCATAAATCATTTAACCTTTGAATTTCTTGGGTATAACATAGACATTTATTATATAGTCCATTGAAATTATTAAAGTTAAAGATATCACAAAACACTACTAAACACAAAGTCATACTTTATATACATTTTATTGATAACTTATACGAAAATTATTTGCATAAGTGTGTATTTATTTCAAAATGTTGCGTTTACTGTACATCATGAGGAACACTTTCGGATCGCTATACATATTACTTTTATTATTAATTTTAAATTCGTAGTTATTACAATTATACTTTTTTCGACTCTCGTATTTCTATGTATACCTAACTTAATATTAAATAAAATTAACGATTTACTATGCATTAAAAAGCGTCTTATGATAGTGTCATCTCTTACAACGAAAACAGGATTTGAAAGCTCGTTTGATGGCGCGAACATTGTGTATAACTTGTTCCTGCAATTAAGTGTGTGAGTAAATAAATTTGTATATTAATATTTGTATTAAAATATATACACCTGCATCAAATTGAAACACATTGCAATGAGGGCCATACCCAGCAATAGGTAAACAGCACAAAGTATAAAACTAACCTCAACTTTGTCTTTATCGGCAGTAATCTGCAAGTGAAACTTGTTATTGATTGAGATTTCAAATAAATTTACAGCAAGAAACACAATACCACACGTTCGCCTGGTACCAAATCCCCGAAACCGATGCTACTAAGCGAGATAAAGCAAAAGTAGCTGCCGTCCAGGTAGTCCCAAGCTTCCCAACGACTGAAAAGGATAGCACCAGCTAATATGTAACTAATAATTGAAAACATACATTACACTTTAGCATATTTCAAATTTCATTTACATACAACTTTCTTATTCTGTAACTAACCTTATCATTATGATCACGCAAACCGTTAAGGGTACCGTAATTTCGTCAGTATTCATACGTATTTCTCTCTCAATATCGGAATCATTCCCCTCTTCAAAAATTTCCAGCGCACTCATGCTCTGTGTTGAACTCTCAGTTTCTTCACTGTAGTAACTGCCTGAAGTGCTGTTACTGCTTCGGCTATCACTGCTCTTGCTGGTACTGCTGCTGGTGTTCGCATATCGGCTTTCCATGTCTTGTAGCTGTCAATGAGTGGCAGTAGAATTATAAGTGCTTAGGAGAGAAATACGCATAGATTTGAGCTTTACCGCTTTTGACATGGCCAATTGTCGTATTTTACGGCGTTCGCGTATGATTCGACGGCGTGCAACGCCCGGACAAATGCGACACAAGCAGACTTTGGAGTAAATCCATTTGAAGGACTTGGCCAGGACATCGCCAATATTGGAGAGGTAGAGTAGGAAGAGAGGCATGCCGATGATCGCATATAAAATGGTGACTAATTTGCCCCAATCCGATTTGGGAGATATATTGCCGTAGCCTGGGGATTATTATAAAAAAAATACAGTTAAATAAAATACATAAGAGTCTGAGCCTCCCCAGCATGACCTTACTTCTAAAACTAGCTAAATGCCAGTATAGAGTCGAGAATATTTGCACAGCACTACTATAGCATTGACCGCCATAATCTCAGAAAAATGAGGGTCTAAACCAATGCCCACCCTGATAAATAATTGCATTGGATGGCAATCAGTGCTCACGCTCGCTTCGGCTCCCCTGCTCATTGTAGTCGACCACCCAAGAGTTTTGTCACATCCGAAAACCGTACGTACGTGTACAACAAGAAGGCTAACTGGAACGGGGGTACGGAACACAGATACCGCAAATTCAACGCCCTTCCACCGCCAACAAGTGCGCGCGTAGCGCAATATACGCAGGGTTATCAACGCAGCAGCCGACCGCTTCAATGCAGCCGGTAGGATCACTAAAATCCGGCGGGACCCGTAGAAGTGCATGATCGAAATCGGCAGTCTAATCCTGGTGAACCCCGCATTAGGGGTATCAACAAGGACATTAGTAAACTGGTAAACGAACATAAGCAGAAACGTGAAATGAGCACCTGAAACCCTGCTATCTCTTCAGCGGAGCTAGCAAACTGTGGATGACAGTAAAATCTCTCTCCCATCCGACGAAACGTAAGGATAACGTTGCCATTACATTCGGCAATACCACAACGTCGAATCCGCGCACCCGGAGAGAGACAAAGCCCACCGTAGTGCGCTACGTAAAGCACACAAACTCCGCCCCGAGACACACCAACGTGCATTACCCCTGAAAACACGCAGGTAGCTGTCAAGAACGCCAAAGCATCCAAGGCGTTATGCCATGACGGAATCTCCAGGCAGATGTTGAAAAGCTAAGACCTGCAGGAGTCGAGTACATGATAGCAGCTTTCAACTTGTCACTGTTTACCCTGATCATCCCCGATATGTAGAAATTGGGTAGGATCATTCGCCTCCTTAAGCCAGGGAAGAAGGCGGACGCAGGAGACTCTTACCGGCCAATCTGCCTCCTATCCCCAGTGGGAAAGACAGTGGAAGCACTACTCCTCCCCAGCCTGACGAAGCATCTGAAACTAGGCGAACACCAACATGGATTCCGAAAAATTCATAGCACGACCACATCATTAAACGCCATCACAACACAGATAAGCGTAGGTCGGAACCAATGTCGAGCCTGTGAAGGGACGGTCCTAGTCGCGGTTGACCTGTCGAAGGCATTCGGCACGGTAAAGTACGTGACCCTTTGCCAAGACGTCCTAAACTCCTCGCTTTTGGATCGGACGAAGCGGTATATATGGGTGTGGACGCCAATCATCGGTCGAATTCCAAAGCGTCAAATCCAAGCCCGTAGAATTAAACAGGGGATCCCCCAAGGTGGCATACTCCCTCCGACACTGTTTAACCTCTACATGGCAAAACTGGGGTTAATTTGGTGAGCTACGTCGATGATGGCACGAAAATGGCAACGGGCCCTAACATCGACAGGAAAATCAATGACTATCTTACCGATCTTTCAAATTTATTCACCGCGAAATCTACCGCCACACTATTTACCACATGTACAAAAGCGGTCAAGCTGGAACTGGACGTACACGTCGATGGCAACAGAATACCGACGGTCAACCATCCCAAAGTCTTGGAAGTCACGTTCGACAGCTTTTCTTTAGAGAGCATAAAACCTTGCTATGAAGTAGTTTCTCGTGGGATTCCACCATAGAAATCACCCCAATAATGCCTTATTTCGAAACGATCAGCCCACGGCATGTAAGACGGCACCTGCGGGACTCGAAACACGACATTGAGCCGTGCATATACCCATTGGACGCAGAAAAATACAGAGTAACGCTTAACCACCTACACACCGGTGCAGTCAGGACGAGTCTCAGCTCCCGAGATGACAAAATCGTCCTATGCGGTCGACCGCCGCCCGTTAATATCGACGAAGCGGAACTGCCGAGAGAGCCCAGGTGCATCTTAGCGCAATTCCGTTCCGGGTGGTGCCACAGACTAAACAGCTATCTCCCCCGCCTGAATCGGAAATGCTATGCCCGAACTGCGTAGAAATAAACATTATGCTCTTTAGGGCGACCTACTCCTCATCGTTGTTCAGCCTATGCATGGCGAAACTACTTTCGCTGCCGGCCGAAGTCAAATTAGTGAACTTCAGACAATTGCTACGCGCCGAAAAATTGGCAGGTTGGGTTAGGTTATTGTGGCAGACCCTGCAAGGGGGATTAACTTAGACATTATTTAATTGTCCATTGTGATACCACATTACACAAATTCTTAGTACGGTAACTGTGTGTAAACTAAGAGAAACACTGGCTGTTCATAACAAAGTTCCGCAGCAACTGATGTCCACTCCGGAGGGCCCCTCGGGAGTGTTGATGAAATGCGCACCGAGCTGCTTAAATCCTAATCTATCGAATGCCGGGCAGCTGAGGAGGAAGTTCTGATATGATGCCACCTCATCCTCCAGACAGCAGCGGCAGTAGGATCCTGTGGCGATATTGAGTCGGACAATGTCCGGTCAGTAAACCTGCCTGAATATCGGCGATCCTTTCAATTTCTTCACTGCCAGAAACCCCAGAACTCCTGCCGCGAAAACTGCCTTTACACCCACCATGTGGACTAAACAAATTATGTTACATCTTTCATAAGTATTTGGCACTCACGTCTTTGTCTCAGCCCACTTGCCCACACCCTCTAAATCGGTGGGAAATGTTTTTTTTTATGAAAACCGAAAAAAATTTTGCCTATCTTTTGGTGGTATTAACGACTTCCGGTTTCGACCGAAATTGGGTTAAACTGACTGGAAGTCAATTTTTTTCAAATTAGATATATTTACATACATGTTTTTACCACAGATTCGGATTCTAAGCATAAAAATGCGAAACTTTTTTCTCGGAAGTGCTTTTTCAATCGTTAAATGACCGTCGAACTTTAACTCGTCCTGGAATTCTTAAATGAGTGAAAACGTTTTTTATTGGAAATCGAAAAAAATTGAATTACCAAGTCGAGGATGCTCTATCTATTGGTCGGAGGTCCATTTATTTAAATGGGATATACATATTTTTACCACAGATTCGTTTTTTGCCCATAAAATCTTTTCCGGTTTGGACCGGAAGCGGGTTAAACTGACCGGAAGTAATTATTTTTTTTAATTACGCATGTATGTTTTTACTACAGATTCGGATTCTGAGGATAGGAGCACGTAACTTTTGTTTGAAACTTTTTTCTCGGAAGTGCCTTTTCCACCTCTAAATGACCTTCGAAATTTAACTGGTTCTGGACTCACGTTGAAAAGTTTTGAAAAAGGCACTTCGGTGAAAACAGATTCTAACAAAAGTTGGATATTTTCGTCCACAGAATCCGAAT